TCCGTTCACGAACGTTATTTTTTTTTTTTTTTTAGTTTGAATAGCTCACTTTTAGCAAATCATTCAATATCAAAATTCACAATTTTTTTTTCAAAAAGATTTTTATCCTTGAAGAACGAAATAGCCTAATCCGATAAAACACAAACTTTATAGTTATTTCAAAATTATAATAATAAAAAACAATGAATTAAAAACTCCTGCTAGGTTAATGAGATCCGCCGTTACTTAAAGTGAGAAAAAATTAGCCATAAAAAATAACCAAAAGTTGTTACCGATTCAGGATAAATAAAAGAATAATCACTAACTACTTTCTAGAAAGATTTATAACAGATATTTGTCGAAAATGTATGACTTTATAAACACTCAATAGGCAAACGGCTTTAAACACACAAATATTTTAATTTTACGTAGATTACGAGAAACATGTTGTTATTTTTTTTATTAGCACTATTTTTATTATTGCCTGGATCTTACAGTATATTTTTCATATTATTCATAGGCATGATGAATACAACTGTAAAAGTAAATTTTATCAAATATTATAAAATTAATATATAAGTAACTGACGGTTATAGTTATGACAGGGTATAATAACAGTTTACCATTTTGAATTATAAATAATCTTCTTTAAGCTTTTCAGTTTGATTTATTTATAATTATATATATATGTATATATATTTTTTTTTTCATTTCTGTAAAGATATCTACATATGTCGTGCGGATGAGTTTTACGTCGCATTGAAAAGTCTTATTAAGGACCCCAACTTCCCGTGGAACCTTTTTAGTAAGTTTTTATATCAATCATTTAATTATTTAAAATAATATAATAAGTATATAGTTTTATTTTTTCCTGAAATCTGGTTCATTAATCCCATAAAAAAGCCAGTATAACCTGTAGCAGCTTCATTTATAGTCGTCCCACATTTATCGGATGATATAAATTATTCTTATTCTTTAAAATCATATTTCATCATCCTAATTTAGTGTCAATACGTAATCGTTATTATTATTAATATCTATGATCTATGAACATGTTTTATTAACAATATATGAACTCCAAATACAAAATGTTTCAGACAAGTACTTTTAATAATGTATTTCATTCATTCATAATGCATAGCTCGTTCATAAGTGTGCCAGAAATTCTATTAACTGATAATTCTGCCACACTTATAGAAAAAGAGAAGAATTTTTCATGAGAAATGTTATGGAAAGTTCTTAATACAAAAATGTTGCAATTGGAATGTCATTCAGCCAACATTATATTAATCAAGGCAAAGGCGCTGGGGAGGAGGGAGGGGCATGGAATTTTCTGCTCCCCTCTCATATAATTTATGAAGGGTGGCTCTCCTCGTGTATTTCGCAGTCATTTTCATTAGATAACTTACACTAACTTTAATAAACTGTAGAAATAATTACTATACGTTGGTCCCTGCGAACAGTACGCTCAATATACTGGTTTTTCTAAAGAATAAACCTAAACACGTTTATAAAATACAATTGGTAGTATCACTCAAAAAAAAAAAAAAAAAAATGAATTTGATGAATTTGGATGTATGGATTTTTTTCGTTTTGTTTTAAATCTTCCAAATTCTACACATCCTATATAATATTATTAATTGTATAGTTTTTGCCTTTTCTCCATTATACTTTTCTATGGAATATACTAATTTTTTCGATAGAAACTGAGATGTAATCATCAAAATGATTGCTCAAACATTGGATTTAATGAAGAACTAACGGAGATATGACGTACCGAGAAAAAAATAATACATATTGGAAATAATACATTATGTTATAATCAAGGCCCGGATTTTACCGCAGTTGGTTCTTTTGTTTGCATCTAGTTTTTAAAGTTCTGATCAAATATATATAGATCCCTTTGTTATTTTATCAAACTAATAAAATTATGTCTCCCTGAAATCCTCCCAGCACTCCTTTTCATCTACAATTTCTCCCTGCAGAATTCAATATTCCCGACCTCTTGGAAAAAAGCCATTGTCCTTCCTTTAAACAAAAAGCCTAATCCATCCTCTCCCAAAGATTTCCACCCAATATCAATCCTTTCCAATCTTTCTAAACCTCTAGAAAAGTTAGTGCAATCCCAAGTTTCCAACTTCCTTGAACAATCCAACCAACTCGATCTTCTCCAATCTTTCTTCCGTCCTGGCTACTCTACACAATCTGCTCTGATTAAAATTACCAGTGATATTCAGGCTGCAATAGATGACAAAAAACTAACCATACTTATACTTCTTGATTTCTCCAAAGCATTCGATTCCATTATCCATTCCATCCTTTTCAACAAACTAAAATCATTATCCTTCTCCAATAGTTCCATCTCTTGGTTCCAGTCTTTCCTCTCACAACGAACCCAAGCAGTTTCCATACCTAATCAACCTCTATCTGCCTACCTTCCTTTATCCTCAGGAGTTGCACAGGGTTCAAGCATGTCTCCTCTTCTTTTGAGTTCTTATATTAATGACCTAAATGATTCAATTATCCATTGTTCCCACCACCTTTATGCCGACGATTCTCAAATCTATTTATCCTTTTCTCCCGCTGAGTTATTGGTGGCATTTGCCAAAATTCAAGAAGATTTAGATCGAATTAGTGCCTGGGCCAACTTAAATGGATTAAGGCTAAATGCTGCCAAAACTCAGGCCATTCTCATTGGTTCCAAGCCCCTTCTTAGATCCCACATCAACTTTCCCTCACTCTATCTAAACAACCAACCCATCACCTTCTATCCCTTTGTTAAAAATTTAGGCTTTCTCATAGATCAAACCCTTTCCTGGAATCACCATATCTCTCATATATCCCGCCGTGCAATTTCTACCCTCAAACTATTCCATCACTTCCGCCATCTTCTACCCCAAAATACCCGTAGACTCCTAGTTTCCTCTCTCATCTTTCCCCACTTTGACTACAGCTGTGTGGTGTACGATGGCCTCTCGGTGGAACTGCGTGATAGACTCAAAAGACTTATGAATTGCTTCCTAAGATTTGTAATTGGAACCCCGAGACGCTCCCGTGTCTCCCACCACTACACTGAGTTAGGGTGGCTTTTCCCCTCCTTAAGAAGACAATATTTCCTTGGCACTTTCCTTTATCAAATCATTACCGATCATCGTCCATCTTATGCCTACAACCTTCTCCAATTTAAGTCCTCAATCCATTCACTCACTACAAGATCCCGACCCTCTGACCTATACATCCCTTCTCATAGATCTGCCTCATTCCAAAATTCCTTTATAGCCCGCTCTGTCAACTTTTGGAATTCCCTCCCGATCAAAATTCGACATGCACCTTCCCTGTACACATTCAAAAACCTCCTATTCCAATTCCTGTTCCAAAACAGTCAGATACCAGCTAACTATTAATATTATATATTTATTGTGTAGCAATCATATAATCATAACACTTGGTAAGAGATAGTACATGCATTTCCTACTATCGACGTAGGAATTTCAATACATACATTTTTTTTTATTCAATTATAAGTAACTGTTTATTTTTATATATATATTCAAGTAAAGTTTTTTTTTTTTTTTTTTTTTTTTTTTTTTTTTTTTTTTTTTTTTATGAAATGAACTCATTGTATCTCTTTTTCGTTCTTCATTTCTCAAAGTGTATGTTTATGTTGTTCAACCCTTAAATATAATTTTGTTCATAGTTCAAGTGGTTCGTTCATAGTTTTAATTGTTTTGTTCATAATTTTAAATGCTCTGTACATAGTTTTATCTGTATTGTATATAGCTTGTGCACCTAAGGTTTTCTTTACTTTTTATTTTATTTTATCAATTTTATTTATTGTTTCAACGTTCAGGCCAGTAATATTCTATTATTTTGTACATTATAGTTATTCTGAAGGGACTTAGTCCCAGAATAAAGTTTTTTTTTCTATCTATCTATCTATCTATATAAGAACTAGTGTACCCAGTTGCAATTAGTCAAATTTTAAATTGCTTGTTTGATGACAAATGCATATAATTGCATTTTGATTATTGCAAATAAAAAGTAACAATAACAATTAGAATTGACGAATGGAACATGAAGATGAATATACGTAATGCAGTAGTAGGCTAATTTTCAATAAAAAAATAACAACAAAATAATTCCAGCTTCAGCTATTGACTTTTTAGAATATGATATTTTTTTCTTTTTCTCTCTTCGTTGCTTTTAACTTAATTTCTTATTTTAAGTGCATATTTTACTACAGAATTCAATTTTGGATCGACACTTGCGATTCCAAAGACGAAAACGTCTTTAAAACTTTTATTACGAATGGTAAATTATATTATTTTAATACATTAATTAAGTATCTCACATTATGTTTTTGATTATGTGCTCATTTGTGTTTTTACTATTTTCATGTACATTTTTTTTTAAATATAGACAATTAGTTATCATCATTATATACAATTACATAAAGCTGTTTCTATTTGGTACTAGTTGGAACTTTGTAATACTGATATTTTACTTTTTGAAAATATTTTATATTATATTTTTTAAACCATTACTAAATATATATTTTATTTCACGTTTTTTATTTACAGCGTTATGTTCTAATTATTTTGGTTTATAAACAATAAATAGATAATCTTATTTAATTTTTAATCTTCTATATATTTTTTAAAAATTTGTTTCGAAAGGTTTTGTCGGCGCATTAGAGTAAATGAATATTTTATACGTTTTATTGCATATTTATAATTTTTTCACTGCTTCATTTAGGTTTTATTTCATAATATAAGGCATATTCTGTGGGCTTCTGCTGCATAAAAATCCAGGCCCTGGCTATAATATAGGAAGTAAACTGATAACTGAGTTCTAATCCCCGCCCTCCCCTTCAGTATACAACTCAATGGTGTAGTCCTTTAATAAAACGAGGATGTTTCAATTAAGTTTCATAATTTTAATACTTTGAAAAAACATAGGTTTAATTCAATGCTTGTTTGGAATAAAAATAAATGATAAACTATACTATTTCAGATGCGAAAATGAGAGGATCATTACGTGAGGTCGTCAATGAATTGACAAATAGAACATTTAGCTCCAAGTTAAACCAGGCAGAGAATGAAGATATAATGAATCAGGCGGTAAACATAATGAATTCTCCACCTAGCAATCACAGCGAATTCGTATTCAAGCTCGCTGTGTATGGTATGGTTCAACTCTATTATATTTTACTTAAAATTTGTATTGTATTGCAGAATGAAATAAACAGTATATTTTTATTCACATCTGGTTTAAGTGTTTCATATTTCCATTCAATATAATTTTGCACGGCCTCTGAAAATTATATTTTTTTTTCATTATTATTTTTAAATTTTCATAAATTCAGTTTGTAAGAAAAGTCGTATAATCTTTACTCGGTTTGAAATAAATGTATATATTTATTTATTGAAAATGTTTTATTGTATTAAATTGTATATACACTTTTGTTTTTGTTATAGTTTATATTGAATAGTATTAAGCATGTTAATACTTATAGCATTTTAGAGAGATAAAGAGAGAGAAGTAAACAAAAAAAGAAAGCGCATAAACAAGGAAATAAAAAAGATATATATATATATATATATATATATATATATATATAATATATATATATATATATATATATATATATATGTATGTATATGTGTGTGAATTTATTTATTATACTCATACATATTTACCACATCTATGTATTTATATGTAAGCTTTATTAATTGTCCTAAAGATTAATCAGTATGATGTGTGCCCAGCAACCCAATATAATTGGGCAGCAAGCTTTTGTATTTTATATATGTATTACCCACTAGCTTATAAATAAATGAATAAAATTAAATATAAGTTTTCAAAATTTCAGGATACGCATTCCACAAATTATTAGAAACATACGAGCAGCAATTTGACTCGATTAACATCGAAATCGAGGATGATGCATCTACAGAATTACCTGAAGATGACTCATCCGATCCAAATTCATCCTTAGAAAATGTAAGCTCTGATAGGAAAGCAAGGAATGGCAATGCAGTAAGAAAAAGAGAAAAGAGAAATGGTCGCAAGAAAAATCTATGTAAGTTTATTGATATTATTCAATTGTAACAAATTTTAATTAGTTTAGAATCATATTACAAAAAAAAAAAAAATGAGAAATTGGATTTTTTCTCGAACTTTCTATGAAAAATGGATGTAATGAAACCAACCCGTGACCAGAAAAATTTACGCAATACAGTTCAACTATAAATGTTGATAAGCTGTCATAGTTGTCATATAAGAACAAGATACTAAAATCCCTTTGATATTTGGCAGAACAAAGTATTTAAGAGTGCAAATATTTTTAAATTATATTTGGTCGCATGGACTGCGTTTAGAAATATATTGAGGTTATGTAACGGTCCTAATATAGCACCTTTACCAACCTGCCGCCTAAGCTGGAAAATAATTTATTAATTTTTTTTTTTTTAAACTGTGAGGCATTCAGATTAATTATCAATTATTTAGATGTGTTACATTAAACAGAAACTTAGGAGTAAAAAACACCTACCAATTGAGGCAAGAGCGTTCCTTGAGGGTAGTAATCCGAAATTTGCACCCGTCTAATCCAGCCGAGGCGATCCAAGAAGAACTGACGGCCCTAGGTTTCAAAGTCCGACATCTGACCAATGTAATGAAGGAAGACAGAAATGTATCCGGTGCTAATAGAAAAATACCATTACCCATATTTTTCATAGATTTGGAACCCTCAGCAGGAGTTGATAAAATATATGAAATTAGAAGATTATATCATACTAGTGTTAAGGTTGAAAAACCATACACTAAAAGAGAAATCGTCCAGTGTCATAATTGTCAGGCATATGGCCACACCAAAACTTACTTCCACCACATTCCAAAATGCATGAAATGAGGAGAGTCACACAAGACTATTGAATGTAATAAAATTAAATCTACTCCCGCTGTATGTGCGTTATGCCTGGAAGGACATCCTGCCAACTACAAGGACTGCTAAGTCTACAAAAATATCAAAAATAAATTTCGCAAACCCGAGAACCAAGAAGAAATCTCTAAGCCCAGAAGAGGACCTGCTAAAATAGTAGACTCTAAAGTTTCTTCTTCACAGTTACTAGGGGGCAGAGCCTCGACTGACAAATGTAAAGCCCTGCCGCAACAGGAACCCCAATCCCAACTTCAACATCCTATCCCTCCTAAAGTACAAAACCCTCAACAATCTCATCACCATCACATTCCTCCTCCATCACAAGCCACAATTGTGGATACCATATCAACCACAATTGGTGGAAACCAACAAACCTTACCAGTTTGTTGGCATCTTTCCTCACTGAATTCAAATTCCTAGTTACCCCACTGATATCTCTCCTCACAAATCTAATATCCCACCTCATCTCTCCCTTAAAAAATCTTTAAATGATTTCCTCCAAACCCTTATCCATTCTCCTTTGGAATGCGAATGGTGTTAGAAATCACACTGACGAACTGACAGCTCTACTACTAGAGAAGAACATTGATGTAGCCCTTATTACGGAAACTCGACTAACCAAAAAACAAACTTTAAAAATATCACAATAGTAGAGAAGAAATGGGGGAGCTGGGCCACCAAAAAGAGCTGCCAATCAGAAGCCAGGACTTCAGTGACGTCATCATGGCGGGAAGTTTGAATTTGAATTTGAACAACGGCACGCTGCCTTTTAGGACCTCCAACCAGCCGTAACCACCACGTGGTCAGTCACGTGACCACCATCCACGCCCCTTTTCGATCATGTGACCCTCATATTTTCCCCCCACTCCTCCCTCAAAAAGGCTGAGTGTACCCGGCCGCCATATTGTTTTCACGTACTTACGAGGTTTGCACCTTCTATGACGTCACGAGGTCCCCTCATCGATCCTGTGACCATCATATTTTCTCCCCACTCCTCCCTCAAAGAGGCTGAGTGTACCCGACCGTCATATTGTTTTCACGTACTTACAAGGTTTACACCTCCTATGACGTCACGACGTTCCCTTTTCGATCCTGTGACCCTCATATTTATAACGTGTTCGGTCACGTGACTAGCGATTTGAGAGACAGGGGGCCTTTGTCCGCCATTTTGTTTTTCTATAACTCCCCTATTGTTTACCTTTTTCATAATGACAAATCTGGCGCTTCCCCCTCCATCACAACCATTATAACCATCATAACCTTACAATAACCTTCCTAATTTTATATTATGGTAATGAGTTCTACATGGAATTCTACGATCCCCCCTAGAGGCCTTCGGGAGCTAGGGCCGAGGTCCTTTTTGCTCTAAAATCAACCGTTTTTGAGATATTCGACATTCTATGTTTTTATTGTTTTTCAAAATAATATATTACTTTTTTTATTATTCATTATTCTATGTAAACCGGATCATATATATTTGGGACGAATCTCGCGTTCCTCTCTCCTCCCAACTATTATAACCTTACAATAACCTCCCGAATTTTTTTATTATGATAATAGGTTCTACATAGAATTCTACAGACCCCCTAGAGCCCTTCGGGGGCTAGGGCCGAGGTCCTTTTTGCTCTAAAACCAGCCGTTTTCGAGACATTCGACATTTTATGTTTTTTTATTATCTTTCAAAATAATATATTTCTTTCACACTCCCTAATATTCATTTTTCTAACAATTTCATTTTACTTTTTTTTTTATATAAGTTTTTATTATTTTTACCATCACTATTTATGTTTCTCATACCTTGTTATCTGGTTATTTTCTTAGCCCTGATGAAGGCCTGAACTTCAGCTCGAAACGTCAGCATATGTAAAAATAAATATTACCATTTATTTTTGCCTTCTTTTTTTTCTGACCACCCCAACTATTCCTCTATTCATTAATATATTTATTTTTTTTTTATTATTCATTATTCTACGTAAACCGGATCATATATATTTGTGACAAAGCTTGCGTTCCTCTCTCCTCCCAACTATTATAACCTTACAGTAACCTCCCTACTTTTTTTTATTATGGTATTGGGTTCTATAAGAGATTCTGTGAACCACCCTAGAGCCCTTCGGGGGCTCTAGGTTCGTATTGCTCTAAAACCAACCGTTTTCGAGATATTCGACATTTTATGTTTAATTTTTGATTTTTATTTGGAAAAAATATATTTATTGTAGTATTACTGTAAAAGGCCTCTGGAGATTTCGTATTTGAATATTTTAAAGTAATGTTAGGTATGTAAACACTACACATAATTCTATTGAGCAGATAGCGGATGGGTTTTGACCCCTTTAATCCTTAAAATATAAACAACCTCTTAATCCCTATCTAAGTATAAACAAAGGACTTGGGCCTGTAATCTCTTATCTCTTATTGTTCTCCTTCACGCGTAAACATGTACTTTGCCCTTTTGAATCCTCAAAATGTAAACAACTTCTTAATCAGTATCTAAGTATAAACAAATGACTTGAGCATCTATTCCCTTATCTCTTAGTGTTCTCCTTTTTTACGTAAATATAGACTTTGGCCCCTTTAATTCTTAAAATATAAACAACCTCTTAGGTCTTCTTAATCCCTATTCAAGTATTATATTTATGGGAAATCTAGCGCTCTTCTCTCCATCCCAACCTTTATAACTCTGCAGTAACCTCCCTGCTTTTTATTATAATATTGATTCTTTACAGGAAGTGTACGTGTTAGTAATAATGTAAACGGGCTTTGGAGATTTCGTATTGGAATATTTTAAAGTAATTTTAGGCACGTAAACACTACACGTAATTCAATCACGCAGATAGCGGATGGACTTAGGCCCCTATATATTTAATTTTTTATATTTTAATTTAATTTATCATATTTTTTTTTTGAAAAAAAAAATAGAGAAAAAGCTAAATGTAATTGAAATATATAAAACACATTCATACCTATATACAATATTTACATTCGCCCAGATGATTCTGAGTCATGCTTTATCCCCCAAATGTGGAAGCCAAGGTAGGACCCCAGGAGATCCCAGTGCTTCTCTCCCAGCCGCGTCACTGGTATTGCAAGCCAGTGGAGACTGATGAAGGGCACTAGAGCAACAGACGCTCAGGACATGAGTGGAGAATCTGGCCATTGTCAATACTCCAATATATACATATTTACAAAAGGTTGCGGGGTCACTGCCGTTTTAACCTCCGGGGAGGATTATAGGGATGGCTGGAGCTAGATAGGATTTGTGCTACAGGATTTGGATGATGAGTGAGTTTCTGGTGAAATTTGGAAAATTTGACTGGGATTATGTCAATAACAAATGGGATATGAAGGTCATTGTGGTGGGTTTTGTTGGATACATAGAAGGGAGCATCGACTATTGTTTGGAGGACTTTATATTGAAAGGATTGAATGCGCTCAAAATGTAAACAACTTCTTAATCAGTATCTAAGTATAAACAAATGACTTGAGCATTTATTCCCTTATCTCTTAGTGTTCTCCTTTTTTACGTAAATACAGACTTTGGCCCCTTTAATTCATACAATATAAACAACCTCTTAGGTCTTCTTAATCCCTATCCAAGTATTATATTTATGGGAAATCTAGCGCTCTTCCCTCCATCCCAACCTTTATAACTCTGCAGTAACCTCCCTGCTTTTTATTATAATATTGATTTTTTACAGGAAGTGTACGTGTTAGTAATAATGTAAACGGCCTCTGGAGATTTCGTATTGGAATATTTTCAAGTAATTTTAGGCACGTAAACACTACACATAATTCTATTGAGCAGATAGCGGATGGGTTTTGACCCCTTTAATATTTAAGATATAAACAACCCGGTAGGTCTTCTTAATCCCTATCTAAGTGTAAACAATGGACTTGACCATAACCATTATCAAAAATAAAACTACTTGTATAAAATTCAGCCCTGCAGCCAGACTTAACCACCACGCTATAATGAAAATATTGTTAATAATATCTGTGATCAAATAAGGTCAAAATAGTATAACATTATCAGTCAACTATTCACAAAACATGACTTGATGTCTTGGAACGAATGAGTGCATTGAGATGTTTTGTTGATATAATATTGCAGTTAATATATATTTTTTCAATTCACATTC